CTCCCTTATTTTTAACATCCTTTTATTCTCTGTTTTATTTTGCTTTTTATATTTTTAATGTATTTATTGGCTGTTTTTAGCTTTGTGGTACACCGCTCAGAGTCGCCTGTGGTGAGATGGGCGGCTATATAATTGGATAAATAAATAAATAAATAAATAAGTAAATAGATGTCAGATCATTGTTTTATTTTCAGTTCTAGCTGCTCCTGAGATTGTTTTCTGAAAAATTCCACATACAGTTCATTCTTAAATACCTTTCCCACATTCACACTGGATAACTGAAAACAAGTAATGCAAATGACAATTATATTTTACCTGTTTTGCAATATACAGCTGAATTTAGTGTTGCTTGGTAGGCATATTTGCCCCATGATGCTAAACATGAAGGATCTTCAAAGAAAGAATACGATATCTCCTCTGCAGAAAACAATACGGGCAGCCCAGCTGGATCATAAAGAAATATATATATTGTTGGCTAGGGAAAAATTCATCTGAAGGCCAATGAACTGGTGACAGCGATGAGTTGTTGACTTTCGTATAAAAAGTTGTGAGCAGTTTCGGATGAGTCATAGGCTGCTTTTCCTTAAGAAGTTAATCCAGTCTTCTGACAGTAGCAAACCTAGCTATAACTATAGCCAACTAAATTGAAATATATTAAAAGTTCTCAGAAAGGGACTGAAATTGATGAGAAACTAAACATTTATCATGGATAACAACAGCAAATTTCAATCTACCAAGGAAGGTAAGTTAATTCATGGAACATTATTGATCAGTATTTATTTATATAGAATTTAGCCTTGAAAGCTGGAGTGAGTTGAACAATCCCACAAATATATATTAACAGTTCAATTTTATGTCTACTCAGAAGTAAGCAGCACCAAGATTGTATGGCCTATTTTCTAATCAAGATAACGTAGGTACCATCTTAGACTCCCTGGAAATAAGCTCTTAATTAATTCAATGAGACTTACTTCTAAGTAGAAAAGATTGTGTTGTCTTTTCCCAATACTTCAGGGGGACATGTTCAACTGGAAGAAATATGAAGGTGTCCCTTTCCTTAGCAAGCTCTTCATGTTGACTGACAATTTATTTTGATGGCTTGCCAGAAATGATGTTGAAAATGACATTTGGAAAGGGTTAACTTTTGGATGTCCTTTTGGGTGATGTGCAAAACTAGCAGGGGAAGTAAATACAAACAGCTTCTAAGATTCTGCTGAGTTATGCTTCTCAAATACATGCTATATCTAATTAAATGACTCTTTAAAGTATCTTAAAAGCTCATAGGGCTACATGTTGTTAGTTCAAATCACCCTTCTCTCCTTAGCTGAATATGTGAAATCGGCTAGGTTCAGCCATAATTCTAAGCTACAATGTTCTTTGTTTGGATTTGGCTTGGTGAGTTATATGAACCCAATAACTGTGGTTTGTAAACCATGGTTTATGACTTCATACATTTTGCAAACCCAGCCAACTGCAGATTAAACCATTCCTTCTTGGTTCTCTTCACTGGTCACAGCAAAGGATACAGAGGCAGTAGTTATATTTGCAGGCTGGTTAGGAAATGATTTCTGGCAGGGACACAGGGACACTGCAGGTATGAGACTCAGCTCTCCTGTGAAACCTCTTTCTGCTACTTCATCTGGGATGAACAGACCAACTAGTTCACCAATCACAAGGTGAATTTTATCACAGGATGGCATTACAGCCCTGCATTCTGACCTGGGAGTACGCACAAAAGAAAGAGGTGGGGTTGATTGGAGATAGAAAACAGAAGCAAATAAATAGTAAATGAAAAGCAGATTAGTCAAAGACTAGATTAGCCTTCTCCAATCTAACCCCTTCCACGTGTGCTGGAAAGCTTGGCATTTTAAGACCTGTTGCCCACTATATTTAAAGAGCGACAAACTGAGAGATGGGGTTAACCCACCCAATTATCAGTTCACATAAAACATCAACTTGTTAACAGCTGCAAACCCTGCACAGATAAATGTGAATTCCTGTGTAGAACAGATTCAGATTCCTGCTACCAGAAAAATATACTTTGAAACCTTTATTCTGCAGTATTTGAATAAATAGCTGAATTCATAGGAGGTGAAAGACTTTAAATGAAAATTGAAAGAAAAAAGAAAGCATTACATAGCAAGAAAAGGCAGTCACTTGTTTCACATCAATGCATTAATGACTCAGAGCCATTTTGGAGCACAGTGGCAGAGAAATATCAGTATTTTTAAATTAGACTCATTCAAACATCTCATCATTTTGTTAAAATGCACCGAATGATTTACAATGTAATTAAAACACAATTTTCAAGAACAAAATCATGCAAGAATCAAACTTTTAAAAAAGAGATAGAAGAGCAACAAATGAAAAGCCAGTCCAAATTTCAAGATGCTTTGCTTATCTAAGCCAAAAGCAGGCCTCCCCTATAGCTGATTTACTTATTTCAATTTATATCCAGGCTTTCTACCCATATGGCATCCAAGTTCTTAATTAACAGACTAGGCTTGTGGTATGTAAGAAAGCACAGCTATCTAGCTCCATAGTAAAACAAAACTGAAACAATTGTACGGAAAAAAATGAATACAGATTCCAAAATTATGCTGGATTGGTCTTGGGACATGTTATTTACTACAGATACTCTTAAATAGAAATGAATGGCATATTAAAAATAGAAATGAATGGTATATTAAAATATAGATATATTTATAGAAATAATGGTGATCAGGCTTTAGGTGTGGAGGTGGATTATGGCATTTAAAAAAGTCCTGGGAGCATGTCTGTACCACAGTTAAGGGGACATGTGAGGATGAGCTCAACGGCTCTTCATTGCTTGTTGCAAAATCCAGGCAGCCAAGCTTTCGCTCCCCATGTCCACCAGAGGGCAATGCAGTTTAAGAAACTCTCTTTTACAGTATTCTCTTTCAAACCATTTCAGACCCTATTTCTACAAGTAAATAATCCTGGGACTTAAAAGCAGGGCTTCCGAGTCAAAAAATTAAGATGAAAGACATGCTCTGGGTATGAGATGTTCGCAGCACTGCTTGATGTGTATCATTCCTTCTGAACTCACTAGAGCACAAGTCACTAGAATAGCTTATGTGGGGTTTCACCGTTTGTTACTCAGCCTGTCGTGGAAACCCAGCTATTCTCTAACATGTTATATGAACTTTAAGCTTATTTCTTGGCTTAGCTTGTTAAATGAACATAGTAATTAAGGAGAGAAAACAGATGGAATCAAAACTGGACATCAAAGTCTAATAATTTGAGAGACACAGACAACACCACTTGTTAGCTGAAGGTAAAGATGATTCAGAAGAGCTCATTAATAAAGTAAAAGATCTGGATTAATATTAAATATTAGGAAGAAAAGGTAATGTCACCCTTAATTTATTTGGTGGTCTACCAAGAAGCGAAGGTGGTAGACAATTTTGTTTTCTTGGACTCAGGAATAGATGGAGATCGATGGTGTGCTGGAGAAGTGAAAAGGAAGTCAAGAGGAAGACAATGATAATCTTAGATAAGATCATGCAGAATGGGGATATTTCTATACCAACGAAGATCAAATTAATTGAATTATTGGTTTTCCCAGTAATGTATGGCTGTGAAAGCTGGACATTGAGAAAGAAGATGGACATCTCCGAATTACAAATCTGGAGTTACTAACAGTACCATGGACTAGAAGAAATAAACATGGGCTGCTCTCTTGGAGGCAATGATTAACAAGCAGAAACTTTGGGGCAAGTGATGCAAGCAGGTAACAGACTAGAAAAAAAATATGCTAAGCAAGATTGAAAGAAAGGAGAAACAGGAAATTAGGTTGGATGTAGCCAGCCCCTGGGCCCCTGGAAGAGGTGTGGATTGTCACAGGGACAAGTCAAGATAGAGCATATTTGTCTACGTAGCAACCAGGAATCAGCCTCAGATCAATGGCAAACTAATTAATTTGTCTGGTTTAGGGTTTCACATGATGCATAAACCCAGCTTATCTGTACTTATCTATGTCCAACAATTTTCAGACTAATTAGACATTCTCAAACTAGTTATATCTTGGCAAAAAAGGAAAAATCACCAAAACTATCCAGATCTAGGAACAAATGCTGGGCACCATTTCCACAATCTGTTCTTAAGGATGACCTTGTATTTGCAACTACTCAGTCAGCATCTGGAGTACAAATTCTTTCCCCCAACTGCTTACCTCATAAAATGTCTCCCATCAATAAGTAATGTGGTCCCATCTGGCAAACATGTGGTGACTTTCCTTTCTACGCTGAAGTACAGAAGGATGATATGTTGAAAAGTCACTGCATTTATCATAATTATAAATGAGAACACCAATTCAAAACAAGGAAGACCCTTTATATAATTTCCCTGACTTCATTGCACTTTTGGTTACTATTATAATCAAACTTTTACATATCACATTAAGGCATGATGTGGATTGTTTGGTTGTGACTTAATGCTTGGGTAAATCTGCCCATGTGAGTCTTAAACTATGGTTAAACAAACCATGGCTTGTTTCAATGTGCAGTTCAGCCAAAAGAAACTATTGAAAACATGCCCAGACCACAAACTTTATGTACAGAGTTGGTTTTAGGGCAGTAATAGTGACTTACTATTACTAGTATTAAAAAAAAAAGGAAAAGGAAGAAAAATAAGCTGTACAGTAATGTGAGCGTTCCTATTTAACATTTAGCCAACCATGAACTTTATGAAATTTTAAAATCATTTAGGAGGGTTCTTCCAACCGAAATTAATTTTGTTTTTAAACTCACGTTTCCTTAAACAATGATTGATACAAGTCTCATTTGTGTTCTGTTATTAGTGCTCATGCTTAAGAGTTTTTTCAGCAAAGTGGGAAAAGATACTTTTCAGTTATACCGAGAGCAAGACTATTTACTAAGGCAGATCATCTTATTTACTAATCCAATTAGATTTTAGATTTTAACATACAAAAATCTCTGAGAAAAGTAAGAGCGAAAACATTAGAGGCACAGCTAGACTGACAGTGAATAACAGAGGAGGAGTTTCTAAAACTGGTCTACAACATGTAGGCAGAGTCTAGGAGTACCTGTAAAAATCCAAGGACAAACTTGTTGCGTCCATATTCATGCACGCACACCACCTTTTTTATCTATAGATAGAAACTGTCCACTGCATTGGCCTTAGATGCTGCCAGCATGGCTATTTCAAATGACTCATGTTGGTGATAAATGCCCATCCGCAAATCTTGAAAGAACAGATGGTTCCCTGCCAGATACCCTCTTTAGGTGATGCACTTCCTGTTTCTTTCCTTTTTAATTATGTGTTAAGTGGCTGTGCTAATGCCAGCAGATGTTTAATGAGTAAAATCTTTGTCAGTTTCCCAGAAGGAATGCAAGGTTACCACTAGTTCACCCACCACATACAGACATCCCTAATAAGCGACTGGGCTTTAACATTGTAAAACTGAGTTCTCAGTAATGCTGGGCTAGACTGCCAGTATTTAACAACTCATTCATGACAATTTGGGACCTGTGGTGAGCTAGAAATGGGAAAAGAGAGAGTATTTTGTTCTTGAGATTGAAAGAGAGAGCAAAGCTCTTAGTTGTCATTGGGATAGACCTACCTCTAAGGGAAATATTTTATATTTTCTTTTGAAAATATTTACTGAGGAAATACAGGGAAAGTCTGAGAATTTTTCTTTCTTACATGGTATTCTTTTGAGAGTAGGAGAAAACTGAGGATCCTCTTCCTAAAATGTCCACTCAAACAGAGGTAGATGCTATTTAAACTGGAATACACAACCTTATTTCTACCATAGTTCAACATGAACTGGAATGAAAGAACATTTAATGGCTGAGAGTTCATAGCTATAATGTGTATGACATTACTGTTAAAGCATATATACCTCATTCATTTAGGGGAAATCTTACCCCAGTAAAAGTCCTTCTAATGATAAACTTGGTGAGCACAAACAGAAATGGAGCTGCTGATAAAATAGAGTTGTGCAAGCCTGAAGAAATCCTAAAGCTGACAGCAAGACAAAACTCTTGAGAGAAACATAAAGAGATATATTCATCCCCAATCCCCCCAAAAAACCTAATGATTAAGTATGCTCAGGAGCCACAGAATGTTGAAATGTACTGTAGTTGGAAAGGAAAATTGACAGGTGGATGTGAATCAAATGTTCTCTTTAGTCTCACAGCTCCAGTCAGGATCTGGCTCATTAGAACGTGAGCAGGACATTTTTCGCTAAGGTGCCTTTAAAAAAAGATATACTAGCATATTTTATTTTACTATAAGTCCCACCTCTTAAATAATGATGAAATTTTATTTAACAATAGTCAGTGGTCCATGAATAGCGAATGTTTTGCTATAGTTTTAAACCCATTCCATTTCTCTTTCCCCAGACCTGGAATTAGAAGCCTTCTGTTACTGTGGTTTTAAGCAGTGCATAATGACTATCCTTTCATGTCAACTCTTTGAACAATATATATTTATTTATATGGTTTAATTGTTCAAGAAGTGTGTGTGTGTGTGTGTGTTCTATAGCTGCCACTATAACTTTGTGGATGCTTACTTACCTATATGTCTCAGCAGAGATGTTGCCATTAATTTTTACACAGTAATGAAACTTGGTCTATGAAAGCAGAGCAAAAAGGATCAACAAGTCACAAAATACAGTAAGGGATATAGGAAGTGGCCTTAATAGGGAACCATGCCCTTGGTATTGGTACAGTCAGTATTGCGCAGTGACTACTTTCAGTTCTCTAGGATTTCAGGCAGAAAACTTTCCCAAGCACACCTGGAGACAGCAGGGACTGAACTTGAGATCAGTTGCACATAAACAACTTAGCTGTTATCTCAAAAGGCATGTGTCTGTACAGAAAGGATTCCAGCCCAGAAAAAAGCAATTTTATATCCCAAAATATACTCTCAGATCCAAGGTTTAATCTGAAAATATTAGCAAAACTGTGGTTTAATGTGATGTGACCCTAAGCAGCATATGTTGCATCAAATCCCACGGCTGCATGCTCCATACTCTATAATGGCCCCTAGAGTTTGACAAGTTAAGATTTGCCCTCTTTACTACAGAAAATTATTTAAAAATAACACAAGTTGTGGCTGGACCTGGTAACCAGGTTGTTTCAGAAATCAGGAAATAGAATTTCTTCCTATGCAGCTCTTAAAACTCTCTGCAGACTTTAAATGAGAAGGTAGTCATTTAATCCTGAGGAGGCTTGAACATAATATTTAGCAAATCACAGCGCAGGAGCATTTCTTACTGTTGTGTGCACAAGGCTGATCCTATGGATGAACTGTTTTATTGCTGCGCAGTCTTCTTTGAGAACTTCAGATTTCTCATACAGCTGAAAAGCCCAAAGATACACATAGTTAAAGTGTCCTTTTCAAAACCTTTAGCTGAATGTTTATTTCATCCCTTCAGCTGTCAACGCTTTCAATTAACTTCTCACCCACCACTTTGCATGGGCACTAAATCCAATGCTTTAATGTGAAAAATGAAAATGCTGTTTCAGGTAAAGGAAAACAGGACACTCTTGTTTCAAATGAACAAAGCTGAGATGTGCTCTGTCAAGTTTGTGGGACTGATGCTAAATCTTCAGATTCATTTAGCTGCACATGAAACAGTTTGCTCATTTAGGTAAAAACAGGTCTCTGTTTATATACATCATATTAAAGGTGGCTAATCCTAGCTGTGGAATTTTCTTCATCAACCAGTTCTGACTAGAATTTCTATCCCTAGTCCCCAAATCACAGGATAAACAAGAATCTAGGCTGCTGCCTCCCTTTCAGTATTTCCGGTTTCAGTTGTGCCAGAAACGCTAATGGATTCTACTTTTTTTTTTTTTCTGTGTTTGAAGAATTATTTTTCTCCAATAGTTTCCTGTGAATTTAGGCATCCTTTGCCTTTTATTGTACACATATGTTAAAGGACACTACCCAGAAAAATAGAAGCATAAGCTCTATTTTTTGAGAGGGTCAAGGGTCAACTCCTGATCCCCTTCTCTCTTTGGAAACATAACTTTTAAGAGATCACTAACCAAGACATTCCAAGATTCAGAGTTTTATAATTCTCTGATCTTTTTTTATTCCACTATAGCTGTAGTCACTACAATTCTTATTATAGTAGTAATAACCCTAGAAAGGACTACACTAGATGTGGATATTGGTTTAGCTCTACTGTGTTATTAACAAAGCCAAATGGATTGTAGATTTGTGGGGGGGCGGGGTGCACTCTATTCCCACTTTTCACAACCCAAGTCTGGTGGTGGTGAAATAATGTCAGCAACCATTTTGGAGCAGACTCTGGTTCTGTAGTTTGAACAGCTGTTCTATCCAACCATTCTTCTGAAGTGAAAGAAGGGGCTAAGAAATACCAGAAAGGACAGCTGCAGTTGTTTTTTTCTCCTGTGCCTGTGAAAATTGGCACTGGAAAAGCCATAAAGATTTTGATTCTAGAACAGCTTCCTCAGATGTTTGGAGGATGCTGGAGAACAGATTGTCCAGGCAAAGACAACAGAAGTTACAGTATTTTTTTTTCCTGGACCAAACTCAACATGACATTAAATGTGACTCTGCATTTAACTTGACTTTTAAAAAATGCAGATGCACACAGCAACTGTGGGAACAGGGCTGAGAATTATCTGGATCAGAGCAAACCAGAACCCTCCTTTCTTTACCCACTACCTGTGCAACTACTATTCGCATCTACTCAGATTCATATATTTGGACAAATTCAAAGATGAATTTAGCATCTGTATTATGTCTTCTACAGAACAGGTGCTTATTGCTGAGCAAAAAGTTCCAGCAACACAGGAATCAGACTCTTTTTTGAGGAGGAAGTGTGTGACGGAAAGAGAAAATAAATTATTAAAGAAAGCATGGTATGTTCTCTGGGAAGACTATCTTAGTGGACAACAACACATATCCATTGGTTCCTTTAGCTGTGAACATTTAATGCAGTAGAAATAGAAAAATTTGGAAGATGCAACACAGTGATATTTGTCTACAAACTTGAGAAGCCAAGTATTAAAGGACACTATTGTCTGACAAAAGGGGCAGAAGGGGTTGAATTAACTCCACGCTTAGCAAACTGTAGATGGCCCAGAGTGGCCCCAGAACTGGCATTCAATGTGGCATTTACTTCTCTACAACTTGTCTACTTTGAGCATAGTTAAAGTATCCATTGTGATACATGAGAGATGCTAACCTGAAAGGAAAGCTGAAAAGGCATGGTATGCAGAGATTCATGAGGACAACCTCTTCCACTCAGGACGCCACTCTGGCAGAAAGGCAACAAGCCTTCTATTTCTGTGGGAGAAAAATTCAGTACTAAGAGACAAGCACTGCAAGACAAACCAGGAATTCCTGCTCTCCAAAGAACAGCAGGCATGAAAATGTGAGATTCCCTTGTTATCAGTGAATTGGAAAGCAAGCTGCAGCAAGGAGGTCCCATGAGCCTTTTAAAAAGAGTTATTTATTTGTTCTTTGTTTGTTTGTTTTAATATATTAGCTGCCCAATTCCAAAGATTTTAATCGAAAGATGTTAATCACCTGAGACTTAATGTTGCATTTCCCAAATTATGTTCTGAAAAAGGCAAGTAGAAGTACAGTTACCATATGGTTGTATGAATAAATCAGGAGGAGACTGGAAACACCTTTTCTGACTAACACATTTTATTAAAAGGCATAAGCTTTCATGAAGTGAGCTGCAGCTCAAAAGCTTATGCCTTTTAATAAAATTTGTTAGTCTGAAAAGGTCTACCAGACGTCTCCTGATTTTGGGCTAACATCGACTAACCTGGCTCTCCTCTTACAATGTCTACAGTGCAGCTTGGACATTCTCATCCACTCAGGTACCTCAGAACCCAACCATTCCTACATAGCAATGTCTAGGGTCACTTTCCAGCCAATTCTGTATAGTAGATCTCTTTTTAAAAGGTAAGTAAAAAGCAAAGTAAAACAAAAATTAATGAGGTTTCAATCTTCTTGCTTTAAAAGATTATCAATGTCTTTAATACAGCAGAGCTCTTGTACCAATTTTTGAAGGCAGCTACACAATGAGGAAACAACTCAGATGGAAGTTGCAATAGAGACTCAGGATGCAATAGAGTCTCCTCAGGATGACTCAGGAAATATTCAGATGTCGGGTGAATTCATATATCCACTAAAGCTGGATACGTGAACAAATAAGATTTGTTTTGTTCTGGGAAACCCAGTCAAAATGTATCAGTGGCTAAGCACTGTGGGAACTGAATGCTAGACTAGATTAACCTGTGGTCTGATCCACCAAAAGGACTTCTTGAATCTCAAACAACATTAAGATATTTACCTGTGAGTATTAAGTCATTGAGGAGGTTGTGGCATAAATCACCTTTTGCAGAAACTGCATGGAACAAATCAGAGAACAGCTTTTATTAATTTTGTTTAACTCTGTGGCTAGGCTAAATTTGAGCTGTATAATTTGAGGCTCAACGTGTTGTAGGAACCAGGCCATACACTTACACCTTACATTTACTTATTTGGGGATTACATGTCATATGACCACAAGAATTGTGTTTGGTTATTTTAGCGTTAGGGTTGAGCATGTCCCATAAATCCAAGTTGCAAATCCTTACTCTCTACTTGGATAGATGGATAGATAATCTTTATTACAATCACTGACCAGGATTACACACTGTATAATCTACTAGCATAGTCACCAAAGCCCATGGTTTATCCAAAAAAAATCAAGAAACATTGCAAACTTTTGGCAGAGAAGTCCACTTTGGAGAAGTCACTCCTCTTTTGTATGATCTCTCGTTTGTATGATTTTGTTTTTAATCTCTATTAAAGGGGATTAAAACTATCCAATTTGAAGATCAAAATGTTCCATTGTTACATCTAACTATTTAGGATAGCTTTATTTTTATGAACACCATCCCATCCAAATCTGGTCTTCTTCCTCTTTGGTAATGCATAAGAGGACACCCTGCTATTGCTAGAACAGCGTTTAGTGGTAAAATGCCCCTTGAGGGGAGGAGGGTCGTTCTTGGTTGGTTTACCTAGTTTGTGTTGTCCTGAAAATACCCTTTCTGAAAGAAATATAAATCTGAATAATACTCACTGATTATAGCACAGTGGGACTGGTTCACATGCTGGAGAGAATCTTCAATGTCCACAGAAATTACAAGTGTTCCTTCAAGCATGGAAGATCTTTCTGACTGCTCCCCCTTTTCATACTGAAGTTGTATTATAAGAAATTCTAAAATCTGAAATGAAAGAAAGGACTTGATAAATTAGCAGAGAAATGTGAAATCATCATATTCTGGCTTCAGAAATAACTGTGTTCCTTATTTCTTCATTTGAACATCAGGACTGAAACTATAACTGTCCTTGAAATGGGAGACCTGGTGATATAAAGCAGGGTGGTGGTGCTAGGAATTGAGCAAATAAAGGAACGGATCACATTTGGGGAAGCTGGTTTTTTGTTACCCTTGCCTGTGGCATTTTTCAATGTTTCCATCTTAAATCAACTCTACAATTTTGGATTTCTTTAACCATTTTTGTCCTTTTACCATAATAATTACATTTTGTAAACATACTAGCCAACTAGCAACTTTCTAACTAATTTCCCAAACATTGCTTCCTATCTAAAATATGTGAAAAATAATTGTTTGTTATGGTTTAGTTGTTTTTAAATTCAGGCTGTCTGTATCCAGCTCGTTATTCTTACAGAATTATTACTGTGGGGGTTTTGTTTGTTTGTTTTACTTCCTAAAACCGTTGAATTATTTAGGTGCCCTTAATCTTATGCTGGAGGGAGCAAAACTGGAAAGAGAAAGTGGAGAAGAAGAGAAGAGAACCCTGTAGAACAAATGCTGCGTGTTCAGGGGGAAAAAAGTGCTTGGGAAAAACTTTGGCAAAGCACACAGGACATAAAATATGAATTAAAATCTCTCCTTGCAGTCCCAGCAACGCTATTTTCTATTTCACAAAAATATTGCTTCAAGTGGGAAATGATCAAACTGCCTAAATTTATTGTCATTCTATATTTTGGTTTCTTTTTAACTGGAATGAAAGGATGCTATGGATGCCACCTTTAATTTATTTTAATGGAAGATGGAAATAAACTAGATAAGCCCTGGAGCTGTTCAATCAGGGCTACTTTGTCACTTTTTTGTTCATAGTTAAGAAGTTATAGGACACTACTTGACTGAAGAGACCAATTAAATGAAGATCACAGGCGGATTCAGGGCCATGAAACGATAAGTCAGGAGTGACAGAAGAAACCCCCAAATAATGCATATCTGCCATCTTTTTTTAAAAAATAACATAATCCATATTGGCACTGTGGCACATGGAAGAGGGACTGAACCTTCTCCTATTGAAAATCCACCCCCAGCAGCTGTTTGCCACATTCAGTAGGAAAACATATAGGCGTGTGCTGACATCAACAAGGACAAATAGCGCATTACACTAATGTACATGTAATTATTAAAATTAGGAGAGATATTACTGTACAGATGGACTGGGAATCTGTGCCCTTAATATCTCTTATTATTCTTGACTATTACTCATAATGGTTAAGGCTGATGGGAGTTGTAGCCCCAGAATATGAAGAGACTCATTGGTCCCCCATCTGTTATATTCAGAGGAATTAATCTAATTTCAATACTGTTTACCCACACTTTATCCATGAAGCTTTCTTAAACTGAGTTAGGACATTGATCTACTAATTCTAGTACTGTATTTGTGTGGCTGTGATTCTTAGTTACTTGAGAATTTATTTTATTTTATTTTTAGCAAAAGAGGAACTCAGGCTTCACTGCTAGCTACAGAGCTTCATCCTTGCCTTACAGTACAAAAATATTCCTGTTTTTTCTTCCTCAGGAGGGGGGAATGGGTCTTGTGATATTCTGTGAAGGCATCCCCAAAGTGCTTCTTTTGTTAAAACTTTAACATGAACAAAGAGGTCAAGATCTGGGGTAGATTGTTCCACTTTTAAAATAAAGTGTATGGCACTGAGACCTCTATCTGTACATAGTTATTATGCAGATATTTTGAAAGATATAGAATTGGTTTGGATGGATACACACTCAAAAAAACACTTTTGTTCCAGTCAGTCTTACATGACCAAAGAAGGATAGCCAGCTACAGCTTGCAAATTGCATGTCTGGTTTCCCAATTTCCAAGTAGGAGAAATGCAACCCAGAAGCTATTATTTTCTTCTGTTTGCCTTTTGATCATATACTGTAATTAATCAAGAGAAGTAATGTTGTTCTTAATGTGCTTATGTTGGCCATCTGGTTATACAAGGTGATGGCTTTTTAAAGGAGGAGAAAAACCTATCTCTCTCAATATGATGACCACTGGGGCTGCCTCATATTGTTGTTGTTATTACTGGTCCATCATACAAAACATTCCAGGGCTGAATTAAAACAATATACTTAAATTTTGGTTAAGAAACACAAGGGCCAGTGTGGTATAATGGTTAAAGCGTGGAACCAAGAGCAGGGAGAGTTTTAGTCCTCAGGCACAGAAGCCAGCTGGGTGACTTTAGGAGACCTCTCAGCACAAATTAGTATTAGTTTACTAATTTCATACATAATATTAGTACACTATAATATACACTATAATATATATATATTAGCACACTAATACTAGTGTGTGTGTATATATATATATACATATTTTATATATATATATACACATGCACACTAATTAGTATTAGTGTACTAATATATAT